AGAACCACAGTAATCACACAGTCTGCGGGCTCCCAGTTACAAAGATACAGGCCATTATTAACTCTCTATGTACTTTTTGAGCTTTTTTTAATATGTACTATACATTCTTTTCATATTCCATTTTAATAAAAGCAGTTTACTCTTAGAAGGTAAAATAAAATATTATCTGTGTTAAGGAAATATGTAATGCATCATTGGTAAAATCATTAAAAGCCCCTTCCCACAGGTCTAATTTTACTGGAAGGTTGAATCATTTGCTGTGTCTTCTATTAGCTCCAGTAACTAAACAATTGAAATGCAAAGCTGCCTAAATTCAAGCTTGTGACTGATTTTACTGCACCCTCTCTTGTGGACTGATAACACAGCATCAAGTGACCCCTGACCCTCACCCCCTTCAGAAAGCATGATTTTTATATTTTTTTCAGTATATAAAACAGTAAAAACATTTTGCCACCATCCATCCTCTCCACAATGGAACTCTCTTTCAAACATGACCAACTCCAGTGAATGGTGCTACTCTGTAAGCCCCCACAACTACATGCGAAGCACACAATTGTGGCATGCTAGTGCAGGTTGAAGGGGTTAAAGCAGTTAATGATAAGATGATACAGTGCCACCTTACCATCTGTCATGTGCTCTCTGAAGAGCAATCTGAATGCTGATCACTGTGTGAGCAAACCCATAATTACTTATTTTTTACCCTTCATGTCTCACTTTGAGACAGAGAAATGAACTGAGGACAGAAATTCCTCAGTCCCTTTCTCTGCAGCTTCAGCTGCACTGGACAGTGAATGAATGGGAAGTGCTGAGTGGCTTCCTGTTCATTCACAAACTGAAGCATAGTAAACACATTTTCCTATGCTTCAGTAGTGCATAGACTAAGGAGCAATCAGTACCGATCTCTGGCTGTGTTCATTCAAGAAAGGAAGGGACCATTAAAAGGCATATTCACTACTCCCAGCCCCCTCCTGCTCTCTATTCTGAACCCGATCCTCCTGTGTGCCCTTAGCAGCTGCTCCCAAGAGAAGACTGGCAGCAATGCAGGGGGCACACAGGAGGATCGAAGCAGTGAGGGGGGTTCACGGGGAGGGGTGGGGGGAGCAGGTGCTTGGTGCAGCCACAGGCACCATAAATTCCTGCAAGGGGAATAGAGGAGCCCAGTGCACATCAAACAGTGAACTGGCCTTGGTGAGAGTTTGCTCCTTCCTCCAGCACTATTCTTGCTGTCTGCCTCTGCCTCGATCCCTCCTCCTGCCCTGCACATCGCTCGGCCAAACTGAGAATAGGTGGCTAAGTTGCCTATTGCTGGTGCCAGCCCTGGTCTTGGACCCCCCACAGTGACCATACACCAGGGCCTGGTTGCTAGTGTGACCTTTGCGACCCTTGTAGATCCGCTACTGCCAGGCTGATAGGCCAAAGCCACATGGAAAGCAGACACAGTGGCCCTACCTTCCTATAGTCAGACAGTATGAGGAAATTTACCCCTTAGGCTGTCACAGGAAGTGACAATGCCACTGCATTTCTGGCAAGAACAACAGGTATTTTCTGCATTTGCTGCAAATGCAAAAAAAAAAAAAAAGAAGGCAGCCAGCACATCTAATGATTAAGCCACAATATATTGCATGAGGGGAAACCACTGTACTGGCCCTTGAAGTCTTGGGGGTCAAGGCCAAGCCATGCTGTATGTGTCTGCGAAGGTGTGAGCACCCCCACGACTAGTCAGCTTGCTATGGGGCACTCACAGATGAGGAGGAGGGGACAGTGCCAGTGGGGAACCCCAGCAGAGGAGGTAAATATAGCAAGTTCAAATATTTTAAGCAAAAAAAAATAAGTCTTTACAATCACTTAAAAAATATGCTTAAACAGTAAAATACTGTATTAACACATATAATAGTGTTTGCTTGTCTAATGTGTAAGGTGCTAATGGTTTGACCCTTGGCAAAGTAGCACACAGCTGTGCATCAGAAACAATCTCTAACCCATTTACTTTTTTTATTGATTTTATTATCATTTATTTCAAAAAAAGGTTACCGCCACCCTTAAAGTGAACGAGTCATCTGCACCCTATTCTAGTTCAGTGGTATGATTTCCAGTATGGCTTTGTATATGGAAAGCATAGAAGGCTTATGCTGCTGTTTTTACTCCCTATTTTTTGTTTTGTTCATTCAAAATTGTACATTTCTATGAGAAAATTAATGCAAAATAATTTAATGAATGTAATTTTAAATAACTTGTACATCCTACCAAACTGCATCCATTCTCTGCACGTGTTGTAAACCTCTGTATTGAAATATAAACAAAGCACATCCTTCTTTAGTGTGTTCTTGTCTCAATCCAGAGCACTAAGTGTCATTTCTCTCTGCTGCCTCTTTACTCTGTTATCTGCATGAGTCACTTGTGACAACTTTTTCTGACACCGAGAGGTAAAAAATTGATGAGAAGGGATTGTGATCACATAGCCTGTGATTCACTTCTTCAGCTCTTATCCTGTGTGCTGTGTGAAAGGGGGGGCTTACTTCCAGTCAGGTCTCCCTGAGTTTTGCAGGCTGTTTAAATTCTGGACTTTGAATGGCTATAGAGAAGACTGCAGATAAACAGGTAGAGCTTATATAGGAGTATTTGATTTATCTCTGCATATCACCTGAGGCCAGTTACTTCACTGGGTATATGTAAGGGTTTACATCCACTTTAAAGCATCTATAATTTCTTGTTTCAGACTAGAACTGGCCAGTATTAATAATATAATTGTCTCTACAACTGTTACATTGAAAATTAAATAGAATGGACAGAATCGTGATGCTAATCAAAATCTCTGTAAAATCTTTGGATTTACTAACAGCTAGATGGTACAAGGTTTTTTCCCTAAAATGTTTGTAAGCTCTAATATTAACCTTCTCTAATTTACTCCTTTTAGTCTTTTAAGTATGCAATTGAAAACATTTTGTTTTATCTGCAAAAAAATACTTGTTAATTCTGTACAATCTGTAAAAGAAAAAAAATAGAGGAAAAACTTGCCACCCAAGGTACAAAGGATCAGCAAGTACATTGCCCTATATTGAGAGGTATCCACTATTCAAGAAAAGAGACAAGCAAATCTGATTGAGCTAATTAGCATTTGTTTCAGATACAATTTTTAAATCACCTGCTGGTATCGGCATAGCAGGGGCAACTATTCTTCTAACATTTCAGTTAAGCTTTGACAGGCTGTATATCTGCTGAGTTGTTATCCAAAGGGGAAGTGTATGGCATCTAAAGTCTATTTTATCTGTCAAGAAATAGAAAAATGAAAAATAGTATATTATACACTGCTCAAAAAATTAAAGGAACACTTTGAAAATACATCAGATCTCAATGGGGAAAAATATCATGCTGGATATCTATACTGATATGGACTGGGAAATGTGTTAGGAATGTAAGGATGCCCCACCGTTTGATGGAAATGAAAATTAACCTACAGAGGACTGAATTCAAAGACACCTCAAAAATCAAAGTGAAAAAATTATGCAGAAAGCTAGTCCATTTTGCTGAAATTTCATTGTAGCAACTCAAAATGGTACTCGGTAGTTTGTATGGTCCCCACATGCTTGTGTGCATGCCTGACAACGTCGGGGCATGCTCTTAATGAGACTTAGGATGGTGTCCTGGATATTTTCTTCCCAGATCTCGACCAGGGCATCACTGAGCTCCTGGACAGTCTGAGGTGCAACCTGGCGGCGTCGGATGGATTGAAACATAATATCCCAGAGGTGTTCAATTGGATTTACGTCAGGCGAGCGTGGGGGCCGTTCAATGGTATCAATTCCTTCCTGCCTGCATACTCTTGCCACATGAGTCTGGGCATTGTCATGCACAGGGAGGAACCCAGGACCCACTGCATCAGTGCAGGGTCTGACAATGGGTCCAAGGATTTTATCCCGATACCTAATGGCAGTCAGGGTGCCATTGTCTAGCCTGTAGAGGTCTCTGCATCCCTCCATGGATATGCTTCCCCAGACCATCATTGACCCACCACCAAAACAGTCATTCTGAATGATGTTACAGACAGCATAACTTTCTTCATGGCTTCTCCAGACCCTTTCACGTTTGTCACATGTGCTCAGGATGAATCTGCTCTCATCTGTGAAAAGCACAGAGTGCCAGTGGTGGACCTGCCAAATCTGGTGTTCAATGACAAATGCCAATCAAGCTCTATGGTTCCGGGCAGTGAGCACAGGGCCCACTAGAGGATGTCGGGCCCTCAGGCCAGCCTCATGAAGTCTGTTTCTGATTGTTTGGTCAGAGACATTCCCACCAGTGGCCTGCTGGAGGTAATTTTGTAGGGCTCTGGCAGCGCTCATCTTGTTCCTCCTTGCACAAAGGAGCAGATGCTGGTCCTGCTGATGGATTAAGGACCTTCTACAGCCCTGTCCAGCTCTCCTAGAGTAACTGCCTGTCTCCTGGAATCTCCTCCATGCTCTTGAGACTGTGCTGGGAGACACAGCAAAACTTCTGGCAATGGCACATATTGATGTGCCATCCTAGAGGAACTGGACTGCCTGTACAACTTCTGTAGTGTCCAGGTATCGCCTCATGCTACCAGTAGTGACATTGACTCTATCCATATGCAAAACTAGTGATAAACAGTCAGAAAGGATGAGTAGGGAAGAAGATGTCAGTGGCCTCCACCTGTAAACCATTCCTGTTTTGGGGGTCATCTCATTGTTGCCCATCTAGTGCACCTGTAGTTAATTTCATTAACACCAAAGCAACTGAAACTGATTAACAACCCCCTTGCTACTTAACTGACCAGATCAATATCCCAGGAGTTTAATTGGCTTGATGCTATACTCTGATTAAAAAGTGCTCATTTAATATTTTTGAGCAATGTATATTGGTGGGTCACCCAGATAGGGAACATAACTAAATAGATTTGTAGAACAAAATATATTATGCTGTTGCTAAGTCAGGCTTTGTATAGCATTTTTATGGCTTAAACACATTTTTTCCTTTTTTTTTCATAGCATGGCTGTGGCAATTTTGTACGTGTTATTCAGAGCTTCAATCGAACTCACTTATATGTTTGTGGAAGTGGAGCCTTCAGTCCTATATGCACATATGTCAACCGAGGCCGGAGATCTGAGGTACAGTGCATCATGTTACTAAGATTAGCAAACACAGTGTCAGATTCCTTTTTCAATGTACAATGTGTCTCCAAAATATCTGTAGTCCATTACTTTTGTCTGTAAAATGAATTTCAGTTGTCACTACATTTCAGAATGTGTAAGAGAGACAGCAGCTTTCATAGAGTCAAAGTGAAGAATGCAGTTCTTGATGTGACATGCCATGCAGTCAGTGGAACACAGTTAGAAGCCACTTTACAGAGGTGATAAGTTGCTGTTTGCGTACACTCTCACCACCCCCCATTGCTCTCTACCCCCCTCCCCACAACTGATGACTGTAAAACATAATAAGCTAATGCTACAATTACAACCTAAATCAATAAGGTATCTACAGCCACCTCTTTCTCTGTCTTCCTACGGGTAGAGAGAGGAGGAGGTGGATGTAGACACCTTACATCCACCTCTTCCTACAGCAGAATGGACGGTCCTTCTTCAGGTGTCTACGCCCATAGCTGCCAGGGCGATGTGGACACTTTTCAGTGGTGGTGTACTCTTAGGCTCTAGAATAGCTTTGTTTGGATATTAGCTTTTAATTATTAATTGGCACAGCTGCTATGGGAATATTACTCAATCATTTTTTTGCCAAGTTAGGGGAACGTGACCCGGTTAAATCCGTTTTGAAGAAGATATTTCATAAATATTTCAACACAAAAATATTTATCCATTATTTTCAATAGAAGACCACTGGAGAAAGATCTTTCTTTGAAATGGTGTACCAGTTTGTTACAATGCCATTGTTTTTGCATCTTTTTTCTACAATCCTTCTTTTTCCCATATTTTTTTTCATCTCTCTATATACACCTGCTCTCTTTTTCCTTTGAGTGGTGCAAGATTTATTGGCAAGATTTTTTTTGTTCTTATATTTTGTAAAAGGGCTTCATTGTTACCATTAAAAAGAAACATTTTTTTTTTACTTTTACTGTGTTGTGTATGTTATCACAAGTAGCTAAGACACTTGATTTTTTTTAAATGTCTTGGGACTCCTTTTGTAAGATCTCCCATTTGTTTTTTACAACTACAAAAAGAACAAACAGGAGGGCGCAAACGCCTAGTGCATTACTAATGATTTATTGTTCAAAAAAAATTGTTTTTCATAGATGACAAATGGATACTCTCAAAAACCAAAAGATGCCACAGCAAGGGGAATCGCATAGCTCTGAGAAAGGAGGTACGCCTCAGAAACCCATCAGCTTGCCAGTCCAGAGAGTTGCATGGACGCACGTGATTCCCCTTGCTGTGGCATCTTGTGGTTTATATGCGATTTTACTTTCCACTTCTCTGAGTATCCATTTGGCATCTATGTTTTGTGAACAATAAGTCATTGGTAATGGACTGGGTGTTTGCACCCTCCTGTTTGTTCTTTTGGTAGTTATCACAAGACTACCTTGGGTTGAGGAGGGCAGTATCAACTATAAATTCCTGGCAAAGTTCATGATCCATTGTATATTATATATCATTTGCAGTAGTCTTCCTCCTCAGTAGAGCTCTGATATTTAGTTTTTAATTTGTTTTACAACTGTCTAATTTCTTAACTGCCGCCTGCAACGTTTGGGAATTACATGATGGTAAAACTATAAAGAGTGAAGGGACCCTAAAAGAGGAGGATCAGGGCTGCTCTGTGCAAAACCATTGTAGAGCAGGTAGGTATGACATGTTTAATATGCTCCAAAAATCCTTTAGAATCACTTTAAATTATAATTTCATGGTTTTCATATTCAATTTGTCGGGAGGATGCTGGTGCCACATGATTGGTGACATAAAGGTTTGGAGAGAAGGAACTGGAAATAGAAATGTACTTAATTTTAGTAAATACAGTTCTAATTTATTTTCAAATAACTTCTGTTTTCACAGTGATTCTGTACCCAATATCCAAATAGTTGAAATAACTGTATATGAAGTACTACTCATATAGTTATTGATGCTGCAAATCATAAATATGTTCTCCACTTCTTTAAAGGATAAGTTCACTTTTGGAACATGTTACATGTTCTACCCATATTTAGGGTGGACCATGTAATATGTTCTGGCTGTCACAGTCTCTTCCCCCCGATGCCGCTTGCATTGTGCCAGCAGTTGAGGGATCCTCTCCCAGCACCTGCTGTCACAATTGAAAGACAGGGTGGCTATGTGAATGAATGAACTACAACTACTGTCATTCTTTTCAGCTGACAGTTTATAGTTCTGCATTGACTGCAAGGGCTCTGGTGAGCGCTCTGGTGGTTCATTCACAAGCTGTGCAGCTTTTAAACAGTCAACCCGTATGAAGATGCAGGCTCAAAGCTTCAGGGCTTGTCTGCAGAAGCCTGAGATCACACCAATAATCCTCTGATCACAGGTTCAATGCTTTCCAGGCTCCTGCAGGAAACAATAGTAAATGAACACTTTTTTTCTGCAAAAATATGTGCATTTATTATTTTTTTTCTTAAAAGGTCAACTTATCCTTTAAAAAAAATAGTCAATTGAAAATAAAATCCAGACATTAGAACAATATTTTGGGCAGTTTTCAAATCTGCATTATATGTCGATAGGCATTTTCTAGTCTATCCTCCACACTAGCTCATGTCTGACAGCACAAGAATGTATTCTACAAAAGGTCACAGGAAACATTCTTTCTGCACAGTCACACTAAAATCAAAGACACTATTCATAATTTACAGAACAGAAGGCTATTTAAAAGCATGTGCTGCAGATTTGACTGCGAGAACCTATTAAACATTGTAGCTAGTCAGTGACATTAAATCACTGGGGATTTTCATTTCTACACAGTCATTACATAGCAGTAAAATTTGCAGTGAACATCAGGCAGATGGGTATATAAAGTGATATTTTTTTTATCCCAATGTATGTTACAGAAGTTATATTCCTTTTTTACTTATGTGAATCCGTTTTATTTCAGGATCGTGTTTTTTTAATCGATTACAAAAATGAATCTGGAAAGGGCCGCTGTTCTTTTAACCCAAAAGTAAACACAGTGTCTGTTATGATCAGTAAGTATCAATTAACTCTTATATAATGCTGTGGTTTTATGCAGCATGTCAGTGACATGTGCTAGTTAGTTTGGAGCAATCCTCCTAGGGTTTAAAGATGTATTATTTTTTAAAGTATGAAATATTGTTTACTTTTTCAGGGATAGTACAAAACTTTCTGATCAGTTAGTTATTGATTCAGAGTGTTAAAGGCTTGCCACTAAAATTAGGCATTTGCATTGTAAATACTGCCTTTGACTGATATTGTAGCAGATATACAACTTGCACCATTTGATAACCAGCATGCATTTCTTTTGTTAAATTTGAATAAAGACTTTCAGTATTGTATATTGTTATTTACTTATCCAAGACAACAACTTAGCATTTTATAGTTACTTGGTGAAACCTGAACTGACATTATGTAAATGTTAATTTTTGTATGTTTTTCTGGTATTAAAATTCATCTATAGGCTAAATCTTATCCATTTTTGTTAGAGAGTGCAAGTTTGAAAGGGACACTGTCAGCACAGAGTCACTTGTAAAGAAATATATACCGGCCAAAAGAGTCACTGTACCTCTCTGATGGCCCATTTTTGGAAATGCCACCTCTGTTCCCCAGAAGCTTCAGGTATTTATCTAGTTGGATGGGTCAAATGCCTGTTTTCCCACTGCTGACTGGAGTGCAGGGGCGGACTGACCATTTGGAAACTCGGGCACTGCCCGAGGGCCCGGGGTCAGTAGGGGGCCCCATGAGATGCCCCTGGTACCTTTTTCATAGGCTTTTTTGAGTTTGGGCAAGGACATAGGGGCCCCATGATCCCCTATTGCCCGGGGGCCCCATAAGTTGTCAGTCCGCCCCTGCTGGAGTGTCACCTTTGCTGACAAGGTCACATTAAAACCCCTATCAGATTTTATTGTTTTTATCTCTTGGAGAGTTCTACCTTTCCATATGTCCTGCTAACTATGGTGTCCGTTTATGAACCAGCGGTAATAGATCGCTGCTCAGTTCTCCGGCATTCTCGGAGAACACAGTTCTCCTGTGAATGCAGTTTATGAAGCAGTTCTCCGAACGAAGGGAGAACGATCTCCAAACGCTGGAGAACGGTCTACAAACTCTGGAAAACGGCTGATTTTACTATAATCTTGCGAGATTACAGTAAAAGATCAGTTTACTAAGCAGAAGTAAATTATCTCTGCTTAGTTTTCGGTCCCTCTGATTCTCCAGCTCTGGGCTGGAGAATCTGGAGGGAGAACACAGATCTCCAAAGAAGGGCTGAACATATTCTCCTGGTGTTATAAACTGTGAATGACCAGAGAATAGCTGTGATCCTCTGAATCTCAGCTATTCTGTGTGTCATAAACGGACACCTATATCACTGAGGCAGAAAGTGTTGGAAAATCCAAAAAGTTGTGGTTGATAAGTAGTTATAGTTGTAACCAGAATAGGACAAGAGGGTAAATCTTCCAGTGGAGATTCCTATTCTGGTAACAGCTGATGACTTGTAGTTCTCAGTGAACTGCGAGGGTGCTGGTGAGCGCTCTCATAGTCCATTGAGCTTCCTGTCATTCAGTAACTGCCTGCCCATATCAGAGGTACGGGCAGACAGCTACAATGACAGTCTACAGAAGCCGGACATTGCACATTTGATTACTAGTACATATGTAGGGGTCACATGAGAAAACCAATTAGCTAACTGTTGGATTTGGCCCCATGGTATGCAAATATCATGTTATCTACCTCTGACATGCCACTATTGCCTGTTTTGTGCATAGCTTATAAAAGAAAACTATGTACAGTTTTACCTATTCCTAACAGTTTGGTACATCAGCCAACAATGTTAGGTTACTCACAGCTGTCCACAGAAAGTGGAAGTGGTATTGGGTCTATGTGTAAGTTAAAGTATATCTAAATCCAAAACCTTTTTCATTTTTGATTAAGCAGATAATTGTTAAAACGCCTATGAGCTTTTGGGGTTTTTTTGCCATCTGTGTCTCTTTGGGCAGATTTGCCTTAAAGACTGTCCTTTAGAAACAATAGAAAATGAGATTAAATCTGTTCTTACATAGTTTTCATTGAGTTAAGTGCACCTATAGAAAGGCCTCCTCTCTATTTCTCTTCTGGTGACACCTCAAAATTTTAAATTCTTCCTAAATTTCAGTGACAGTGGTTACCAGGACAAGTAGATCAAGTAAACCTCCATAGTAGAGACAGCACAAAAAATATTTAAAAGATATAAATACAAACCTAACAGGGATTATAACCCCTCCCTACTCTTCCCAAAATGAAAAAATGTTTTGGCTTTGAATACAATATTTGGGTTGATTTACTAAAACCAGAGCATGAAAAATCTGGTGCAGCTTTGCATGGAAACCATTCAGATTCCAGATTTTTGCCAAAGTTTAATTGAACAAGCTAAAGTTAGAAGCTGATTGTCTACCATGCACAGCTGCACCAGATTTTGCACTCTCTGGTTTTAATAAATTGGCCCCTTTACGTTTGAACATCACCTTAGTGAACTGTAATGAGGGACCAAAAAACATTGGTAAAAAAGTTAGAAAGGTCAAGATGTAATTCAGTGAGGATCAAATGTCTTCAGCTAACCTTCACTACATGTCTTCATCAACAAAGATATAAATATAAATGAGAAAGATGTCCAATGGTCCCTTTGCCAGTTTGCTGGGACAGGATAGAATTGTTATTTTCATCTGGAAAATATATGATATATATTTTTGAATCACTGGTGAAGTTTGACACCTAAGAGTTTGTAGACCACATTGGATAAAAAGGTTCAATCCCAGAGAATGAGATCACAGGCAAAATTAAGACTAATTGCCAGTGGGATTTTTTTAATATTCATTAATCTCTAATAGCTATGTTCATTGAATAGCCAAAAACCTATGGGCAATGTCCCTGTAGACAGACTTTTTTGTGAACTGCTCTAACCTGGATAAAGCTGCATTTATAATGGTTTCAATAAAAATGAATACTGTTTAATGAACAGTAAATTAAGGGTTACTCTAAATTGATGTAGACATGGATGAAAATAAAATCTGTGATAACAGAATAAATTGTTTTTGGAACAAATAACATATCAGTTCACAGACATGTAATATTATGCTAAGATTTAGAGCCTGATTGATATATTATTCCTGGATTAAACATTGGTGCAGAAGTTCAGACAAACCAATAAAAACACACTAATTGCTTAAGGAAAGTGCCAAATGTCTTGAGCATCATACACAAGTAATAAAATATTATCAATGATACCTTTTTTGTCATATTTTAAGGTAAAATAGATTTTTAAATTTTTTAACCAAAAAAAAAAATATCTTGTGTGATAAAGATGGCGATGGCTCAAACTCATCTGTGGATTACCAAATACATACAGTAACTGATGCACATTATGTTAGAAAACAAATTACCATCAATAAAAATTGGTTAAAATATAAAAGCAAAAAAAAATAATAATAAAGATAGATTCTTACAGATAGAAGCTGTTGTTTCTGTTTGTTACCATCTCTAGAAATCTGTAAAATAACAGAAATAGCAGTTGATAATGTTTTGAAAAAATAATACATTTTTAATTGAAAGAAATACAGTATATATGCCATTAATTATTCAAAGGAAGTACAATCCACGTGACTATGAAAGTTCCAAATAAATGCAGGCCTTCCATTTTCTAACGACATATTTGTTATTTATCTTATAGATGAAGAGTTGTTTTCTGGAATGTATATAGATTTTATGGGTACAGACTCAGCTATATTTCGAAGTCTAACAAAACGTAATGCTGTACGAACTGATCAGCATAATTCGAAGTGGTTAAGTGGTAAGCTTTTTAAACTTTTTTTTTCAAAAGGAAATTACACCTAAGTACTATATTAGGGTCAAATACAGTGATGTAAATGGACCATTTACATTTTGTGGTATGTTGATCCAAGTGTGCTAATGTACATTGACTTTGCTGCCCACACACCCTTAAGGCACTTTCACACTGGTGAGGTTTTCCCCCACTTCAGGTACAGTGCGCTGCATGTAGGAATTTTGGTGCACTTTCAGAAAATGCCCCAAAACTGCCCAATGTAATAGAAGTCTATGAAAAAGCACAGGTAACCTGCACCACAGCTGCGAGTACATTGCGCTGCACCCTCGATGCGGGAAAACCACACCACATAAGTGTGAAAACTCCCTAACGTGCCAAGAATGTAAATGCGCCATTTTTGGCCATGCAGAAACCAATCAGCTTCCAGGTTGTTTTGTAAAAGCTTAACTGAACAAGCTGAAGTTAGAAGCTGATTGGCTACCATGCACAGCTGCACCCGATTATGCACTCTCCAGTTTTAGTAAATCAGCCCCATTTTGTCCTGTGCAGGGCACTTCAGCTAATAAAATGTGAAGATTTTCCCCGTTAAGTGACTGAAAAAGACCACTAACACCCTAAGTAGGTAGAACAGATATTGAAATAAGTTGTACAGACTGTCTAATGTTTATATATGGAAAAATATGAATGTGGCACCTATCAGTGAGTATCAGACAAGTAAAATAAATATAATAACAATCGTGCATCAAGTCAAGTGAAAAAAAATTATAAAGAATGATTAATAATATGTTAGTATCAATATCTAACATTAATAAATTTACATAATATTGAAATTTCAATTATATCTGCCATTTAAAATTTAACATGAATTCAAAGAATATAAGTCAAAGTGCAAGTGTGAACTTCCAATATCGTGCGTCACATTCATGTTTTTATTGCTTTTTGGTTTTTGTATATCAATCCTTTTGCCTGGCTGCCGGCTACTACCCATAGTGTTGACTTTTTTCTGTTAATATTTATAATATATATATATATATATATATTTATTTTTTTTTATTTATTTATATAATAATTTTTTTTATTGCTTTTAGTAGAAATTTAAAATATAAAATATTTATAATTTATCATATTTTCAGCTTTATATCATCAAAGCAGACCTTCTGTGCAAAGTGCTTTCATGCAATCCCTTTACTCCCTCCACTGCCGAAAAACATTTAAATAGTAAAAGTTAAAATGATAAAAAGAAAAAATACTCTCGCAATGCTGGGTCATGTTACCTTGCCTGAATGTGTTTTCACATTCAGACAACCAATTTAATTACAGTTTACATAATAATTTTTAGACTGCTTGGTCCTGTAGTGGCCTTAGGGGAATCAATCTGAGCAGGCCAGCACACTGAGCAGCCAGTGATTTGCATTGCTGAATCTGTACTATATGGGTGGCGTAGTTTTTGTAGATCACTGCATGAGGTTTAAAAAAACACAAAACAAATAAAAGCCCAACAATATTGACACATATAGAGGGTTGCTTGATTTGAATACATTCTCATGCAGTTACTGTATAATATACTGTGTGGCCAAAGGTTTTATGGACTATAACAACCTCATATTTGGCCAAAAATATATGTGCATACCCTTCCACTGGTATTTCATGTGAAGGGTACTGTTGATGCTACAGCATACAAAGGCATTTCAGACAATTCATACTTTCAACCATAACAGCAACGGTTTGGGGAAGGTTTCATGACCAAGGGCTGACTGACCATTTGAGCACTCGGGCACTGCCCGAGGGCCCAGGGTCAGTAGGGGGCCCCTGGTACCTTTTTATAGGCTTTTTTGGGTGTGCTTTGAGTGTGGGCAAGGACACAGGGGCCCCATGATCCCCTATTGCCCGGGGGCCCCATGAGTTGTCAGTCCTCCCCTGATCATGGCTGTTCCCCTGTGCACAAAGTCAGGTTGATAAAGACATGGTTTAATAAGTCTGGAATGGAGGAACTCAAAGAAACCTGCACAGACCCTGACCTCAACCAGACTGAACACCAGGTGAATATACTGGAATGCCAAATGCGAGCTAAATCTTCTTATCTAATATCAGCACCTGATCTCCCATTTGGCTGAATGGGCACAGATCCTTACAGAAGCGGTCCAATATCACACAGAAAGTTTTCCCAAAATAGCAAAAGCTGTTATAGCTGCAAGGAGGAGTCCAGGTTCATTGTTTTTGGAATGAGATACCAAACAAGCTTATAAAAGTATGATGGCCCACAGACATTTTCCTGTGTAGTTATTTTGCTTCCTGGTTTTTTCAAAGATGTTTCTTTTATTGTCATTTAGTTTTTTCTTCAGAATCATAGTGGATATGGATGTTTTACCAGATATGGAGTTAGTGTTACTAAACCCACAACAGTAAAATCAGCTTGTATATGCAGTAAAGCATGCTTATTATACTCACTGTGGAACCTAAGGAGTTAATCCTTTGCATTGTGTAAAAAGGCTGTTTGATCCTGATTGCTCTGTTCCTCCCCTTGTTTAAGCGACCACCTCTTATCTCCTGATAAGATAAACTGAACCGTAGGCATTTTGTACATGCTCAGTTTGGTGTGTATTGCTAGAGTGGTTTTTATTTTTCTTGGGAGAGTGCATGTGATCAGCACTGCCCAGACAGAGGTCAGGAGTTTTGCATCCTAGTAGAACAGAAAGAAAACTCATCCTACCAGCTTTAGCTAGTGCTTGGCTGAACAATGATAGAAGCCACAAGACTGCTTTAATTGCTGCTGAGAAAAGGTATTTAGCATTTTATATTTACTAATATAATTGCATTTCCATGTTGTGTGTACTGTGGAAGACCAGATATAGTGAATGCAGGGTCCTGGGTTTAGTAATGCTTTAATTATTACAAGATTACATTTTAAAATTAAATATTTTGCCTTCTAGAGCCAATTTTTGTGGATGCACAGCTTCTTTCAGATGGAACAGACCCGAATGATGCAAAAGTTTATTTCTTTCTAAAAGAGAGACTGACTGACAACAGTGGGAGCACCAAGCAGATTCATTCTATGATAGCAAGAGTTTGTCCAGTAAGTTGTGTTGTGTTTACCTCTAGCAGACCCTGAGATTTACAATAAAGTCTACTAAGTACATCTGGTTTCCACAGTTTAGATGTATTTCCTGTTCTTGATGAGTGCAGTAATGAGGTCAGCACTCTTATATACTGTATACTCCTACATCTATTTAGTCCAGATCTCTTTTGCAAAGTCTGTTTCCACCCAATTGAAGCACTTTATTAATTGCAGTACATTATTATACATTATTGATAAATACTGTATAAAAATGTATTAAAATAAAAATCTGAAAGCCAATAGTGTAGTATTATATACTACAAACCAATATTTCATTTTGTAGACATTGCTCTAGCTAGAAGATTGGAAGGCTGAGATACTATAGAAGGGTAGTTTACACATTTACTCTGTGGGAGATAGTGGGTATTTTACTAATGGAGTCATTTATTTCTCTTTACTTTTTTTTTTTTTAGAATGACATTGGTGGACAAAGAAGTCTTGTTAATAAGTGGACAACATTCTTAAAGGCGCGGCTTGTGTGTTCAGTGATGGATGATGATGGAACTGAAACCCATTTTGATGAATTAGGTAAGATCAAAATGAATAATAATGTCTTCTCTACATTATGGGTTTACAGCATTGTACATCTGCAGATATTTTTAAATGTATATTGATCAGCAGTGACTTCCATGTTAAGGCAGTTGTGTCTTTGTCTTGGGAATACCAGATTTGAATTCCCACTTTCCATGTATATTGATCAGCAGTGACTTCCATGTTAAGACAGTTGTTTCTTTGTCTTGGGAATTTGAATTCTCACATTCCATTGAATTGTCAGTAATTTAGTGAATGCTTTAGGGCCGCTTCAGACTATAGAAACGCATTCCAGATGCGTTTTTGCATGTGTGTTTTTGTCACGTTACGGTGCATTTTGATGCGTTTGTGACTCATTCCAGTGTGTCTTTTATGCATTCCAGTTCATTTTTCCCCCTCTTTTTATTCAATCAAATTGGGACATGTGCATTCCAGTGCATTTTTGGTGCGTTCTGTTGCATTTTTTTATGCATTTTAGCATGTTGATGTACAGTTCTGTGCAGAAAAAATGCAACATGTTCTACTTTGTTTCTGCAACTGGAATGCACTGGAACTGCAAGCACTAATGTAAACTATGACATTGACAACCATATAACATACTTTCTGTGTGTTTTGGATGCAGAAAAAAAAAAAGTATCTGAAACGCATGTAGTATGAACTGGCCCTAAAAGTTACCTAAAAACCTGTGCAGTTACTTTTGTTGGATTACTGTAGTGAACTGCACCTTGGCAAATTGCAAGATTTACAAACTGTTTTATATAACATTTTCAAATAAACTTGTGCTTTTAAGATTTGATGTTGTGTCTAGGACAGTCCAAATGCCCTGAATTTAGGACTTGTGGTGAGAAGTGTGGAAGTTTTCATCGAGGGTGTTTTTCTCTGTTGTTGGCACATAGATGTCACTGTTGTGTGACATTTTACTGATCACTGGCCACATTTACAAAAGTGCTCAGTAAATGATCCAAGTATTACCACTTGCAGTTGACTTTATGGGGTTGATTTACTAAAACTGGAGAGTGCAAAATCTGGTGCAGCTCTGCATAGAAATCAATCAGCTTCCAGGTTTTCCTGTCAAAGCGTAATTGAACAACCTGAAGTTGGAAGCATATTGGCTATAGTGCACAGCTGCACCAGATTTAGCACTCTCCGGTGTTGGTAAATCAACCCCTATGACTACTGATTTGCACACTGTATTATACAGAGCTCAATTCCAGAGTGATGCAGAAACATTTAGATATAGTCTTAATCCAGTGTTTGTGATATATGTAATCTTTTTCATGTTCATTCTTCAGAACAGGGTTTCTCAACCAGGGTTCCATGGAACCCTAGGGTTTCTCCACAGGGGTTCCTTAAGCAATAAGCAATTTCTCTCTGTCAGACAAGTTCTCACTGACATCACTGATCTTTTTAGCTATCTGTAAAGCGGTAATTCTTTCCAATGTCCACAAGTGTAAGGAGCATTCTTCCCACAGACCATCATACTTATGTATCATGAGTAGTAGATATAGTCATTTTTAGCAGAGGTTCCCTAAGACCAGAAAGGTATTTCAAGGGTTCCTCTTGTTAAAAAGGTTGAGAAAGGCTGCTTTAGAGAATTGTGATATTCTCTTTTCATTTTTTTATTATAGAGGACGTTTTTCTAATGGAAGCTGACAATCCTCGGAATACTCTGGTATATGGTATTTTCACTACCTCAAGGTATGGTAATAATAATAATATTAAATTCCAAAAATTCTATTTTTGAAATCAGAGTGAAAATTGTGCTTTTTAGCTGAAGGCTTAATGTTTTTTTTGTGAAAAGAATACAGTAGACATCTACAGGATGAAAATATTCCCGTAGTAGATGTATAGCCAGAAAATAGACAGCTGTATGGGGTTGATTTACTAAAACTGGCGAGTGCAAAATCTGGTGCAGCTCTGCATAGAAACCAATCAACTTCCTTTTTTTTTTGTCAAAGCTTAATTGAACAAGCTAAAGTTGGAAGTGGATTGGCTACCATGCACAGCTGAACCAGATTTTGCGTTCTCCAGCTTTAGTGAATCAAGCCCTATGTGTTACAGGTTTGTAATGTGTCATCCAATCTTTAATAGGAAATATACACAGTCCGTGGCCAGTAAGCCTGCGCCTGCCAAATGTATTGCTGGCCTAATTTTAGGTTTTGCCCAAAAAAAAATTTTTTGGGTCAGTATTTTTTATGAAAATGCCATTTAAGGTGCAAAAATCTTGAAAAGTGGCTACATTTCTCATTTCACACAACTTGTTATTTAATATTCATAGAAATAAGTCCCTTTAATAAGTGGGTAATGCCAAAGGAGTTGTATTTGAATTTACTTTAGCATGGATATCAGCTAGTGGTGTAAGCTGTGGTACTAAAGCAGGTTTTACTAAGATGAAAATGACAAATCAAAATCTGATTGGTTGGTATGAATGGATGAATTTTGTGTGAGCTTATAAATTACATTTTGATATCACCTATCTAGATTTAGAACTAGTTCATTAAAGCAAGCGAAAGCATCTTTGCTTCCCAAAGAAGAAGTTCTAAAATTATAATTAAGATGTTTCTAGGCAGATACTTATGCATTCTAAAAGCTGCCGACACTTCAGTTTTATTTGGCAGCTTGAACAGAAGTCTGTTGATACCATGATCTAAGGCGATAAGCAGAAAAAGTAGGAAATGGACAGTCAGAGTACTTATAGAATACATAATGTATTAGCCTGGCTGACAAGCTTCCTTTTTTTAATGCTAGCATAATTATCTAAACTGCACTTTAAATTGAGCTTTTCAGATGGAAGAAAAATACATCTATGTACATCTTCCAAGTGATCCACTTAAAAGCCATACTAAGGCTGCATAAAAACATCAGTCATTATGTACAGAGCATTAAAAGGGTTACATGGCATCTTTCCAGCTGTGTTATGGAAAATTATTAATTAATCGTTTTTTTTTTTTTCTTTTATCTTCCTAAGTTTTAAGTGCGTAAGGAAGTCTGTGCAAGAGACTTATCAAATACGCAAATGACATGACATTTACACTCCATTTCCAGCTGTGTGTGGGCTTTCTAAAAAAGATTATATACAGCACAGTGTATTAGTTTTTACTTTTGTTAAGTAATGTCTGCCTAGAGAAAAGGCAGCGCTTTTCCAGTATCTGTTTAAAAAATGAATTTATTTAAGCGAGCAGCCCTCCAAAGTTTAACAAATGTAAATAGAAAGTGTTTTAAATGGAGAAAAGACAGAATTGTTAAGAATTGAGGCCTGGTTGCCAGCCAGTAGATAGAATTTCAGGTTTTGTTATAAAAACCTTTAGACATGTGGATTTAATCCAAGAGGGAATTCACCTATGAGTGAAACAACCTTAAAGAAAAAAGTGAAATAAGCTACTGTGTCCAGACACAAGCGTTGTGGCAGGCTTGAAGGAAAGAATAAAATTCCTTGGCAAACCGTGCCACAGGTCACATTGAATGAATATTGCTCTTGAGTTTAGATTATAAAGCACGGGCAGTACATTAAATATAAGGACATATTTATAGGGAAGAATTTATGAAATCTGGGGCACAGCTTAAAGCTGAATTCCACAAATTCAGCAAATTTGTTAAAAGTGCTTGCACACCATGAGATAAGTTCTTAAAGCTGACTGCCACATTTTGGGCGTATCTCTAATATTTATATCTGATGGGGTTATGGCTCTGCTGGAGGATACACTAAACACTTGAGTCTGTGAGAGAGGAGAGAAACTCAGCGAGCAGCTATGCCCACCCCTCCCCTCTGCTGCCCATTCACAGACGCCTTTGTATTTTGTGAATGAGTTCACACAATACAAAGGCTTCTATGATTGAGCAGGAGAAGGGAAGGAGTGGGCATAGTAGCTGCATCAACTCTACATTTGAAGGGGCTGAGACCAGCTAAATCCAGCATTGGAGCACAGTAAACCTGTCAGATATAAATAATAGAGGTAGGTCCAGGAGGTGGAAGGCACCTTGTTGGATTTAACTCATAGAGTCTTTTCACTTTTTTCAAAGTTGCTGAGTTCCTGGAATCCAGCTTTAAAACCAGCACCCAGGAACATTTTAACCACATAAGAGGGTTTCATGAGAAGCAGAAGGCTTCTGCTGGAGCTGCAATGTTTTTCAGTTGCAGATCAACCTATTATATGTCTGTCTTTAATAAACAATGCACCAAAATCAGGACTGTGAGAATCTGACTGTATTCAGTGAGAATTACTGACTGTTGTTTGGAGACACCTGCATGCATATGTTTAGAGGAATTAAAAAATAATTATGAATTTGTTTATTGGTAACAGCGGTTGAAAGTTTTCAAAATATTTAGCAGGGTGCCTATGTTGAGATATATATATATATATATATATATATATATATATATATATATATATATATATAAAAGAGTCATGTATTTCTGTCAGATAATGTACCACTTCACCCAGAAAATTGTTGCAATTACATTTTAGGCATTCTCTTGTTTATTTCTTTTGCTTGTATTGGTATGACACAAAAAAAGTGGAAAAACAAAAAGCCAAATCTGAGATATTCCATGCAAAACTTAAAAAATGGACTGGACAAAATTATTGGCAAGTTTGTGATTCTCTTGTAATTTGTATTTAAGTTCACCTGTATCAATTAACAGATCTTAATGTTCCTATAGCCACTGTCTGCAACATTGTCAAGCAGTTTACAGCCTATGGCACTTCAGCTAATCTTCCTGGACATGGACAAAAGAGGAAAACTTGATCAAAGATTGCAACAAATGATTGTTCAGGAGGTGGATTAAGAACCTCGATCAACTTCTAGACAATTGTTAAACTGACCTTCTGGCACAGGGTACAACTGTGTCAGCTTGCACTATACGTTGCAATCTGAATGAAAAGGGACACAGTTGTAGAAGACCCAGGAGGACCCCATTGCTGACACAGAAACATAAAAAAAACAGATTGGAGTTTGTCAAAACTTACCTGAGGAAGCCAAAATCCTTTAGAAGAATGTGCTGTGGACAGACTAAACAAAATTAAGTTTTTTTGGTAAAGCTTATCATTTTATTGTTTTCAGAAAAAAAAAGAGGCCTTTAAAGAAAAGAATACAGTCCCTACAGTGAATAATGGTGAAGATTCATTGATGTTTTGGGGTTGCTTTGCTGCTTCAGGCACTGGATATCTTGACCATGTGCATGGCATTATGAATGGCAGTACAATCAAAAGAAATAAACATGAGAATACCTAAACATTTGTAATCACAACAATTGTCTGGGCGAAGTGGTGCATTATCTGGCAGAAATGCAGGGGTGCCAATATTTTTGGCCATGACTGTATATTTGCTGTATATATTGTATATACTATATGGAATCAATAGTAGTGTTTATTATTTCTTTAGCTCTGTGTTCAAAGGATCTGCAGTATGTGTATATCACATGTCTGACATTCAGACAGTGTTCAATGGACCGTTTGCTCACAAAGAAGGACCCAACCACCAGCTGATTCCTTATCAGGGCCGAATTCCATATCCAAGGCCTGGTACAGTAAGTTGTATCAAGTGATCTTTTGTCTTTGTTACTAGTTTTGTACTTTCTTTGTCTCTTTCATTGGAGTTCTGACAAATTCATGTTAATTAGGCCTCTTGTAATCAGGAAGCATAATTACAGATGGAAGCAAAGGAAAAAGAAAATGATCAGCTAGAGATTCAGGAATAATAAAAAAAGCAGTTCAGTTATTAGGAATTATGAAGTATAAAGGACGTTTCAACATGAGTCTTTTGGAACTAATAACATATGTTAATTTAATTATAAATGCTTATGCCATCCCTTATCACCTATTTCTAACAATAAACCTTAACCTAGAACTTATTTATTCTCTTCCTCACTCTTGTCTTAACACCTATTTAACTTAAATTAAACTTTAAAGTGTTACTAAACCCACAACAGTAAAATCAGTCTGTATATGTAGTAAAGCATGATTGATATACTCACTGTGGAACCTAAAGGGTTAATCCTCTACATTGTGTAAAAAGGCTGATTGATCCTGACTTCTATGATCCTCCCCTTCTTCCAATGTCCCCCTCTTATCTCCTGATAAGACATATCGTGCAGAGACACTCTGCACATGCCCAGTTTGGTGTGTATTGCTAGAGAGGTTTTTTTTTTTTCTTGGGAGAGTGCATGTGATCAACACTGGGCCAATCAGCACTGTCCAGATAGAGGTCAGGGATTCTGCATCATCCTAGAGTGGAAAGGAAACTTCTGCTACAAGCTTTAACATGTGCTCTGCCAAACACTGATAGAAGTCACAAGACTGCTCTAACTGCTGATCAGAAAATGTATTTAGCAGTTTTTATATTTACTAAAATAATTGCAGTTCCGTGTTCTGTGTACTGTGGCAGACCAGATAGAGTGAATGCAGGGTCTTGGGTTTAGTAACACTTTAATACTTGACTACTCTCTAGCACTTACACTCAAATGCCATCTCTACTTTTCTGGGGGGTTTTTTTCAAACCTCTTCCCCCCCTCCTTGTGTCCAATAACAGGTTAATTGTATTGCTCATCTCCTCTAGCACTGCCCTCCTTGTCCTCCTCTGCCATTGGCCACTGCTCAATTTCCAGAATTCTTTTGCTGTGAGCCCAAACTATCATGAACATTACCTCTGCCATTAAAAGTGGATATGGGCTTAATACCCTGATCTTACACTGTAAGTTAACTGTTATTCAGAGTTCCAAGTCAGTGACTCATAAAGTACTGAAACATTGGATTTGAGTATTAGCTAGGAAACTAGCATTTTCAGAAGACATCCTCAAAGGAAGCCTCCATAAATTTTCTGTGCATATTTCCTTTAAGAACATAGAATTGAACTCACATGTGGGTGATTGCTGTTTTTCAAGAATATAGGAACCATCTGAAAAAACAGCACACAGCCGTAGTCATTCACAGCAGCCCTTGCCTGGTTTATGCCAACATAGAAGCATAAAACTTGGCTTACAATATCTCTGTGGTTTTATGTTATTTTTTTATGGTTTATGATCTGCGGAAGAAAAGGGGGAAAAACAAAATTACTGCATATTATTTCTATGCTTGGGTATCCATTTGACGGCTCCTGATTTCTTCAGGCCCTACAGAGGAAAATGTGGAGTGACTCCCAATGTATATCCTATGTAAATAAGTGATGTGGAGATGCTTGCAGCATACGGTTCAGCTGTCATATTCTTCCCTAGGTAGTCAGCCACTTGAAGGTACATTCTTACTAATCACATTAAACCTGTGTAGGACCTCTAAAGAAAACATTTCAACCTGTGTAGAACTCTAAAGACAACATGTCAGTGCATTAAAATATCTATGCTGGAGTAATAAATACAACACAGGCACCCTCATCTATACAGGTCACTTCGCATATATGCTTATCTCTTTGGTATCCCTCTCATTTAAAGATTTTTACTTGAGCTCACACATAGCTTTGGGTACCAATAAGGAGCTGTTGTGGGTAAGGGTCGGAATCTCAGATTTTTATTGCTGTCTGTGTCTCTACTAGGGGAAATTTTTTCTCTCTTCTTGTCTTGAAGACCACAGAGAAGTGAGGTTGATTCCCCAACAGATAAACAGCCATAGCATTTGTCAGAGGGTCCAGTGTTTCCACACTCTACTAAAGAAATGCTTTTATTTCTCCCATTGTAAAGGTTCACACGCTTCTTGTCCCACTAATCACCCGGAAAGTTAGGGAGTCCAGCAGCAAAATCTTGTTCCAACTCTTCTTTACTCAACCTTAGAGAAATTTGCTTGAGTTTTACTTTAAGGGTAGCATTCTAGAATACAAATATTCAGTAATGTGATACGTGTATATTTCTTTGTAGTGTCCTGGAGGTGCATTTACACCAACCGTACTGACAACAAAAGAATTCCCAGATGATGTTGTTACATTTATAAGGAATCATCCACTCATGTTCAACTCCATTTATCCGGAACATAAGAAGCCACTTCTAATAAGAACAGGAACAGACTACAAGTATACAAAGATAGCAGTGGACAGAGTGTATGCAGCAGATGGAAAGTACCATGTCCTTTTTCTTGGAACAGGTATGTGAAATGCCATTAATACTAAACATCAATGTTTAGTTGCCAGATCAGTGTGTTGTGTATTGAGCCATTGCTGAAGATATCTTGAACATTTGATATGTGTAATATAGTTAGAAGAAAGTAGCTAGCAAAATAAGTTCATACCGGCTGCTGGAAGGAAAGGGAGAGGGACAGAGCAGCATGACACATTACCATCTTCAGTATCTGTATTTTTTTGGTGGTAAAGCCATTTTAGGAGAGTTCATGATTATAACATCCTGAGAAATGTTTGTATGATCAAAGAATAAGGTTTAGGGAACAGATAGTGGTTTTGTATATATATTTTTTTATCATCCATTGAGGCACACAGAAATTTAGGAATTATAGCACCACCTGCAGTAGGTTGGGACAATGGCAAACAAAAATGTTGAAGCCATCCCTTTTATAATCATGCCTCTACCTATCTAATGGCTCAACTCTGCTGAAAAAAAACTGTATTTTTTCTAGCCTCTGTATTCATCATATTCCTTTTTTTAAATACTTGCCGTCCGAGCCTTTTCTGACATTTCTCACATACATGTTAAAATCTGCACATTTTTTTTTTTTTTGCTAGAAAATTACTCAAAACATTACATATGTTTGAAAACAGAGGCCCTGGAGAATAAAATGGTTATTGCTGCAATTTTTTATGTTACATGATATTTGTGCAGCTATTTTTAAAATGCTGATTTCCAGGAATAATGCTCTTTGATGAATTTTAGTGCACAGAAACACAATATACTACCCAATTTTGTTTGGCAAACTTTAAAAGTTGATGTTACACTGACTAAATAGATACCTAACATGTCACACTTTAAAATTGTGCATGCTTGTGGAATGGCTAATAAGTATGGTACAATTATTCTGACATTCGCAAATATTCCTCATATAAGGGGTTCGATTACATGTGTGTGTGTGGGACCTTTGTGCATGTTTGCATTTGTACACAGGAGGATAGGGGCAGTTTATAAAAAAAGTTTTGTTATTTATTTATTTTTTGCACACTGTCCATTTAATTTTTATTGCTTTCAAAAGGGATGAACAACATCCCCTGCAATAGCTTGGGCAGTGACAGGTACTCTTTACTGAGAGATTTGGGATCTGGGACCCCTTTTGCGCCCTGCAGAAGTGATCAGGCAGCTGTAGAATCACTTATACAGGAAAGCCCATCGCTGGCTGCAAATTTTGATACCGGGATCATGGCTGCAGTACGGGTACATCCTAAGGGCGTGAAGTGGTTATTGACTTCAATCAAGATTGTTGATATACAGCTGATAGTTTTTTCCTCGTTGACTTACTTCACTGTGCAGTTTGAGCTAGTTTCTACATAGCAGCTTTTGAGGCCTTACCTAGACCGCACTGGACTGGAAGATTGCAGTATTAGCATCGAATGTGACTTTTGGTTACTGAGTTCTTCATTGTGGTGCCTTCCAGACATTTGTGTGCTGTGAAGAGTGCCTTGGCTAATTCATTGTGAGGGTGGTTGCCTGATCAGGCTATCTCATTCCTTATCATGGTCTTTCTTTTCCCTGAAGTCAAGGGTAAGGAAAACTAGGCTTTTGTCTTCTGTGGTTGACCAGCTGGTCTTCCTTCTGAACAAAGTTGTCTGTACAAACATCCCTTTAGCGATCCTGAGATTTGAACCAGCAATTTTTTTCTTGTTGGCCACATTTTCTACATGGTCTAGTGTTCTTTCTGTTTAAATAGCTTTAATTTTGGCATGATTCCTTCAAATATTCTATTGTGGGATGGTCCCAACATCACTTTGCAGTTGAACTACTTTTGTAATTCTCTACTGTTTTAGAATTCCTAACTCCTGTGTCCCTCAACGGATAATAAAGGAATAGGATTTTTGTACTTACCATAAAAACTTTTTCTTGGAGTCCATTTGGGGGGACAAGTCCTGCCCCTATATGTTTTGGTCCTATGCATTGCTTCCTTACAAAACTGAGATGTGATGAGTAGAGGCAAGGTTACAACGATGTTTGTTTACCTGTGTCCCAACCTCCTGTAAGTGGTATTATAGCCTGGTTCTGAATTCCTGTGTCCCTCAATGGACACCAAGAAAAAGATGTTATTTTTTTTTTTTTATAAATATGGTCAATACATACAGTATATGTATACAGTTTATATTTTATGTTGAAGTTTCCAGCCAGCACATAGAGCTCTAAGCTCCATTTCACAGTTTTGCTTGCCTGTTCTTAGCTGCTTTTAAAAAAAAAGTCCATTCTGTGGAATTTCTGGAATTAAAAGGAGAGATTCTGAAGGAAAACAACTTCTGCTGTATGTTCTTTAGATTACCAATAATGCTCTGTAAGTCGTGTCATGGGTGCACCCTGTGTTATGTGTTTATTTGTAAACTGTCTTTTACAAATTCTAAAAAAGCAAATATAAAACATATACAGTACTCTTAAAGAATGAAAAAAATATAAAATCTTTTAAACAATTTACCTTAATCATAGTTACATAGTTAGTCTGTCTGAAAAAAGACAAAAGTCCATCCAGTTCAACCATTAAAAAAGAAAAAAAAAAAGTTCTAATCCTACACCCACAGTTGATCCAGAGGAAGGCAAAAAAAAACCCAGCAAAGCATGATCGAATTTGCTCCTGCAGTGGAACTATTGAACTATTTCCATCAAAGATGCAAATTCTCATAGAAAGTGCTGATAAAAACTAAGCATTGACTACAAGTAAAAATAGCAGATTTTGCTGCTAGACGATGTCTATTGTAACTTGACAGATTTTTCTAAATTTAGTGTCTCTTTAAGAAATTTCAGAATATCTCAGACTGTATTTTGTTAGTTTGAGATAAAATATTATGATATTGGGCCAGTATTCTGTGTGTGGCAAGTTTGAATGTTGCATTATACACATCTGTCTTATTGTTTAAACTAGATAATGTGTTCCCTTTTAAAAATAATACGATTAGTAGCTGTCTCAGGGTTCATCTTGTACACATATGCTTACAGTGTGTAAGATTTCAGTTTATTTAAGGATATATTTACATATGGAAAGACAATTTTAATTACATCAGAGAGTGAAAGTTTCTGTTATGTTCTGCCATATACTACATTTAATCTGGTCTGTTGTTGCCACATTGTTAAATGCAGAATCAAGCACTATTGTCCAGTACAGAGTTTAGTACATGGCTACTGAGACTATCTAGACAGCTACATTCCTTTAGAGATATAAAACATAATCCTAAAAACACACACTACATTTTCTGCATGGTATCTGCACTAGCAGAGGTGAGTAACTTTTTTTGGATCATAAACCAGTTCACTACAGGCAATGCAGAATTACAGCTGATCCCCTTCTAACATCTCAGGGGATTATGAGGCACACTCACTGGCTCTCTGATACTTAAAGTGGACCTTGCACAAAAATGCATTGAACAGTTCAGACTTTTCTGCCTCTGCTCCCAGTGATTTTTACAATCTTCATAGCATCCCTGGAAGTCTTCAAGTGGGATGGCATTCAGAGCCTGCGCAGGGACTCTTTGTACATTGTCCACACTACCAAAATGTATCCAAATGTGTCCTTTCAAACACTTCTTCATCTTCTGATAGTGAGCCGTCGGTCATGGTTGAGGACAGACCTAACTGCATCCACATTCTGTTCCAGTTTTGACGAAGAGGGGCATCCTGATCGTTGATTGTCTTCAGCACCTTCTCATCCTTCCTTGAAGGCCTTGTTCCATTAGTACATTTGTGCAGATGATAGCTTAGCTTCTTCATAAACTTTCATCACCATTTCCAAAGTTTATGCTGTACTTTTACCCAATTTTCACACAAAATGTTATCGCATGCCACTGTTCCAAATTCGCTTGTATTTTTCTTAATACATGGCTCTTGAATAGGGTGTCCCAAAAAAGAATGTCTCGACAGGACTGGAATGCAACTGATCAGTGGTCTAACATACACCTGGCACGAAACCCCAGGTGACCTTGGCCAGCTTCTGCCTTCACAGAGTCCTTCTCAATCGTAGGAACTTCTTTCTCATTATAGCTTGGACACACCTTGCATATATTACAGTCAGAAGGCCCCATCCAAAATTACATAATTTTACTTTATACTTTTGCTTTGAGTTTAATTATTTTAAGGCATAACTCTACCAAAAACTATATTTCCATCCTTGATGGAATACAGTACTGTATGTTCCATTTTCACCTAGCTCTTATCAGTGTAGTTTTCTATTATTATTATTATTATTATTATTATTATTATTATTAATAATAATATACAGGATTTATATAGCACCAACAGTTTACACAGTACTTTGCAACATGAGGGGAGACATTACAGATACAATACAATTTGGTACAAGAGGAATCAGAGGGCCCTGCTCGTTAGAGTTTACAATCCAAGAGGGAGGGTCAAGTGATACAAAAGGTAATAACTGTGGGGTATGAGCTAATGGCGAAATTAAAAACACAGTGTTAGACGCAAGATATGCTTCTTTAAAGAGAAGGGTTTTCAGGGATCATCTAAAGATGGATAGATTAGAGGATCCAGTGGAGGGATTGACTGAGAGGGGTACTAGACACTGAACAGTTAGTAAGGTGGATGAGTCTGGCAGGTGCATTCATGATGGACTGAAGGTGGGATAGCCTATGTAAAAGTAATGAGGAGGGAGTTTTAGTAGTTGAGGCGAGAGATAACCAGGGAGTAAATTGGAAGCTTTTTTGGTGTCATTGGTTAATAAGGGGGATATTCTGGAGATATTACGGAGGTTGTGGTGGCATGATTTGGACAGGGATTGGATGTGGGCCTGAAAGGATGGTTCAGAATGCAGGATTACCGCTAGCACCCTGGCATGTGGGGACGGACTGATAGTTGTGCCATTGATCGTGACAGAGAAGTCAGGGGAAGTGGCACGTGGGGAAAGAAATATTATGAGCTCAGTTTGGATAGATTGAGTTTGAGGAAGTGGTGTGACATCCAGACTGATATGTCTGTTAGTAAATCAGTGATACGTGAGAA